CTCCCTGTGTAACCAGCCAAAACCATTCTCCTCACTTTACTGTTGGAGAAACTCAGGCCCAGGCAGAGTCCATGATTTGTCTGAGGTCACCCAGAAAGCATGCGGCAGCAGGAACCGAACCCAGGTCTCCACAGTCCCAGGCCTAGACCTTAACCCCAAGGCCACCCTGGCAGAGCAGTAAGACCATCATGTTCTCGGTCCTATAAAGGGCAAACGGGCTTGGGCCATTACCTCTCCTTGCTGGGATCCTCCAGTGGAAAGGGGCCATTGCTCTCAGTATCAACCAGAAAGTCGGGATATGTCACAGACTCCACCTAAGACAGGAGAGACAAGGGAGTGTGGAGGGATTTACACTGGCCTGGTGGGACGGGGCGGCCCAGCTGAGATGTCCCACTGAGCCAGCTCCTCAGAGAGAGGAAGGGGTCGCTCCCAGCACCAAGAACCTCTGTGCTGGAAAGGCCCACACCCATCACAGGCCCCTGCCCCACAGGGAAAGCGCACACACAGGGTCCAGAGTAAATATCACAATCACATGCACATACACACCGACCCTTCCTCCAATGTGGAAGGACCACATATACAAGCATCCTGGGATAAGTTACACACAGTGGGGTCTGGGGCAAATCACACACACCTGCAGAGAGACACACACTGGCATCTGGAATACATCACACATGCATATGCATGGATGTGCACACACACAGGTCCCAGGGTAAATCACACACACTGGAGTTCTGGGGGTAAACGACACAGGCATGTGTGCAGACACACTGCGGTCCCAGGAGTAAATCACACAGGTGTGTGCACACATGCATCCCAGGGGTAAATCATACACACACACACACGGGAGTCCCAGGGGAAATCATGCATGTGCGCACACACACTAGGGGGTCTATCACAGGGTATCACACAGCTGGGGTAAATCACAGGGTCTATCTGGGGTAAATCACACAGCTGCAGGAGCACACACATCCCAGGGGTCTATCACAGACACACACTGCATCTCTCTCTCACACACGGGTCCTGGGGGCACAGCACAGACACACACACACACACACAGGGGTCCTGGAGGCAAATCTCTCTCTCGCGCGCACACACACCCTGGTGTGGGGCGGGTAGCACGCAGGGGGCAGGCGGGTCCTATCCCCCCTCCCCCGTCCCTTCCACAGGCCCCGGCCCCGGGCAGCGCGACAGGCTCCAGCAGGCCGCAGGGCCAAGCCAGCACCCGGCCCCTTTGTCCATCCGCGCCTGCCCCACCGCCGCTCTCGCCTCGCCCCGCGGCCTCCCCACCGCGCCCCCGAGCCCGGGGCGTTCCCCGCCCCGCCGCGGAGCCTGGCCCGGGGCACGAACCTGGCTAGAGGAGAACAGCGGGGGTGGCCTGGCCTAGCCCCCACCCAGGCCGATCCCTTGGTGCACCGAGTCCGGGGGTCTCCGCAGCTTCCCCGCTACAGCCCCGCACCCCGATCCCGCTGCGCATGGGGCCCCAGCGCACTCCAATCGGGGTGTCCGAGTCCTCCCGTCTGTCTCCCCCCGCACATGGGCCCCTCCCCGGTGCCCTGAATCCAGGTGCTGAGGTCGTGGCATCTCGCCCCGCTCCCCCCTTCCCCGGGACCCTGAACCTGGGTGCTGAGTGCATGGGACTCACCGTCTCCATAGCCCCCCGTGCTCAGCGCCAGGGCCTGCGAGGGGTTAAAATCCACAGACAATGCTGGGACTGGGAGGAAGGGGGCTGGGGGGGGGGAGGGAAGAGGCTCCTCCTCCCCGCTCATGCCATTGGTAGATCTCCCGGCCCCATCGGGGCAGGCAGAGCGATTGATTTGCCTGCGTAGCGTGTCTGC